CAGGGGCGCTGGGCGCGGGCGGCGCCGGTGGCCGGAGCGGCTTCGCCTGCGCAGGTCTCGCTCATCAGCACATCGTTCGTGCTCAAGGGGGACGCGACGCACAACCAGGCGATGGTGCACTGGACGGGCGAGAACAGCAGCGTAAGTGACCTCCGCGCGCCCCGGGGCTTCTGCCCCGGCACCTGGGGGCCCCCTACTTCCGGACCGCCCCGCGGCCGGCCTGGGCGTTCTCGGCTACTTGGGGACGCGAGTCACCTCGGCGGCGCCCCTACTGGCCTCTGGCCACTGGTTACCTGAGAGGACCCCGGATATGTGAGCACCCTGCCTCACCTCGGGGGACATTCCCACAGATTTCCGAGACCCTGAGCCACCTCGGGGGCGCCCCCACTGGCCTCCAGATCTCAGGTTATGCTGGTTGGGGGTGCTTCCAGGGGCGCCCCCGAGCCCTTGCGGATAACCCCCCAACTCCGCGCTGCGCCTCGCTCGCTCTCAGACTCCTCCGGGCCGCTCGGTGGGGCGTTCTGGGATTTTGGGCTCTAGGACTCTCCACCCCGGTTTGCCCGGAACACCCCTTGTGGCACCTCCACGAGCGCCAGGACTTCCCCGGTCAGCCTGGTACCGCATTCTGGGGCTACCCCTCTCCCCCATTCCCCTAGTGTGACCCGCCGCTGCCTGCAGGTCCCGCTGCCCGGGGTACTGGGCGCGCCGGGATCTGCGTACCCACCGAGTTGGGCGCCAAACCGCGCTTCAGACCCAACGCTGAAAACTCCCTGCGCCACCCCCGCATTCCCCCGCCACTTTGGCCTCCTTCCAGCTGGAAGTTCCACACGACACCCCCCTTCTCTGCGCGGCCACGTCTGTTAGGGTCCTCCGCGCTTCCTTCACCGGCGCGGGGTTCCTCCCCTCTGGGATCTTGCCCCATCCTTTTTGGTGGAGCCTCCCGCTCCAGGCGTGGGGACCCCCTCCTATTCTTCCCCTGGACGCTGCCTCCACCTCGCTTTTCTGTCCCATGCCACCTCCCGCGGCCGGAGGTGACCAGTGGCCCTTCTGGGGTCACCTCCGGGCAGCGCTAGTGGGTCATCAGTTCCGGGAGAGGGGTTGGTGCAGGGAGAGAGGTGGCAGCTGAGTGTGTGCGCGGGGCTGGTTGTGTGGGGAGGAAGATGGGAATGTGCTCACCCCCATCACTGCTCATGCAGGTCTTCCCCAGCACCTGACCCCCAACTCTTTTCCTTGACCACTGCTCCCCAGAGTGCTGAGGAGGCGGCTAGGGGCCAGGGCCCCTGCATGCTTTGGGAGCAGGGGGCTAGGTGTCCGGTCACTTCTCTTGCCAGGAGAGGGATGTAACCTGGGCTGGGCGGCGTGCCGCCCCCCTCTGTCCATCCCCCAGCCCCCTCTGACATAGGGGTCCTGCTGGAGGAGGGAGAGGGTGCATGAGTGAGAGTGTGGGGGCAGGGGCAGCACCGGATGGGCCCGCGCCCCGCCGCCCCCTTCCCAAGTGTCTGGTCTTGGGCCATTTCTGAGTGCTCCAGTCAGACTAGAAGCTCTGGGGCTGGGCTGGGGTGGGGTGGGGTGGGATGGGGTGTGGAGCTGGCCCCACGGTCGCTTGCCAGCAGGGGGCAACAAGGGCCTGAGGGGGGCCCTTCACAGAGGGTAGCAGGTGCACCCCCCTCCATAGAAGAGCCCTAGGAGGCCATCCCCATCTGCATCTTGAGAGAGGGATCAGACCCCCAACTGCAGCTGGGCCCAGCCCTTCACTGCTCCCCAGGACTGGAGAATGAACTGTGTCCCCTGTGGCAAGCTGTAACTTAGGGACTGAAAGGGAACCTGGAAACCAGCAACTCAAAGGAACGAACGTGACAAGTCACGTCTAAGCCAAGTCCCCCCCACCTGCTGGCAGCTTACTCCCGTCTCATTGTAACTTCAAGGGTGGAAGGAGGGGCATGGAAGAAGGAAGGGGCAAACGCTGAGGGGTGGAGAGCAGCCTCCCAGGTGGGACCAGTGCCCCAGCACCCACTGACACCTAGGCCGCCCACCCCGTGCTGAGCAAGCGGTGGCTTCCTTGCAGACAGCGAGGAGGAGGCTTGGACTGCTGGGGCTGGGGTACTGGAGTGGGTGGGTTGTCAGAGGAGCCCACCTGGCTTTGCTCCTTGGGGACAGTGGCTGGGTTGAGTGGGTGGTGGCAGGTGAATGCCAGGAGAGGGGACTTCGGGGAGTGCGGGACCATGAGGGTGTGAGCGGGGGATGCTGGCTTCTCTTTTGTGGGGGTCGGAAGGCCAGACCTGGACAGGCATCTCTCCTCTGGCCACCGGAAATGGGAGAGCAGAGATGAAGCGTGGAAGGCAGGGCACAGCCTGGCACTTAGCAGACACTAAGGAGGCAGAAGCCTTAAGTATGTCAGTACTGGTGACAGTTTCAGCACCTGTGAGGTGAAAAAAAGCAGACAGCATGGAATGCTGACCCAGGCGATAAACACCTTCCCACGCCCGCTCCCCCCGCACCCACCCGGTCTCTGGAGTGGGAAGTCCAGGGAGACCGGAATTTTCTCTGGAAAAGCAGATCATCTCTTGGCTTGGGGAGCAGGTGATGCTGTAAGAGTTTCACCTCACCTGGGCCAGACTCAGCAGGAGTGAGAGCTGTGAGCAAGTGTTGAGTAAAACCATTTTTCTACCGATTGTCTCTCAGCACTCGGTGAGTGTGTGGCATTGTTTTCTCGGGGTGCACAAAACGTCTTAGAAATGCCCTGTGCCCGCTCCGCTCTCAGCTGGCAGCCACAAGGCCAGAGATTTTCGCCAGGATTCTGCACTTTGTTTGCCTCCTCTTGAAAGCACCTCTCCGAAAACTACAGCCGGAAAGAAACTAACCCGAGGCCAGTTTGCTGAGCGGAATCTCTTAAGTTTCATTTCACCGATTTGCCTAGGTAGTGAGGCCCTAGAAAGTGCACTCCACAGGTCCACCTGAGCGGAGAGAGTGTTCACCTTCCCGTGTCAGGTGTTAAAAAAAAATCACGTGACGAGAGGGATAGCCATTTTAAAATGGTTTTTCAGTGCATCCGAGAAAAGGAATCGTGGGACTCACGTTGATACCTAGAAAGGCCCCCTTGGCGGCAGCGCTGGGGACATCCGTGCGTCTTCCCACTCCCGTGGACAGCCACGTGGAAGGGGCTGGCTTGGACGCAGACGCTGCCTTTCTGTCTGGCGTTGAGCTGTAGAAACAAAGTGTTATGTGGGAAATGAATGTTTCATTGAAACGGACCAGCGTTACCCCTGATGGATCCAGAGCAGTTGTGCAGAGGCGCCCGGGTTTCCTCCTGAGCTTCCCTCGGGGCCAGGGGTGTGGTCTGAAGGTGGATACTGTGGCAGAGCGCTGGTCTCTGCCTCCGGGGTTGGGGTCTCGTGTTTCCCCAGTGGGACCGCGTGGTGCCCTGTTCCAGTTTGGGAAATCGTGTGCGCATCGTGCTTAAGTACAGCTCACCTGCGTGCCTTCCCTCAGTCAACTTCGATGCTTCATTCGACGTCCAGGTGAGCTTCCTGCAGCCAAGCCCCTCAGTGCTCGCAGTAGATCAGAGCCCCTCCCCCGTTTGCGTGCTCTCTGCTGTGTCTGCGGGGTTGCGGATGTTGTGGGGAGTTGTAGCAGAGAGGATTCGGAGCCGATTATCCACGGTCTGCTCTGGGAACCTGATGTCTCATGCTCCAGAGTGCCAGTCAGAAGTGTGGAGCTTCTGAAGGTGCGAATTGGATCCTGACACCTGCCAGGTGTCACATTCTCAGGGCGGTTGTATTAGCTTCCTAGGGCCACCATAACACAGTTCCAGAGAAGAGGCTTTAACAACAGAGATGCATTCTCTCCCAGCCCTGGAGGCTGGAAGGTCAGGATCCAGGAGTGGGCGTATGGTTCCCCTGAGGCCTCTCTCCTTGCTAAGTAGATCTCCCTCTGTGTCCTCCCTTGGCCTTCTCTCTGTGTCTGTGTCCTAATCTCTTCCTATGAGGACACTGGTCATATTGGATCAGGGCCCACCCCAGTGACCTTGTTTTATCTTAATCCCCTCTTTAAAGACCCTGTCTCTAGCCACGTTCAGAGGGCCTGAAGGTTAGGACTCAGACATGTGGTTACTTTGGAAGGCACAGTTCAGCCCGTAACAGCAGGAAGGGCTCTCACTAACCTTTGCATCCTCTGAGCGTAACTCAGCGGAGCTCAGAGTGGTCCAGTGGAGAGAGGGGGTGGCTGTGGCAGTGTGGGCTGGTGGTTACTGACGCGTAAGCTAATAGCCACGTTCAGAGGGCCTGGAGGTTAGGACTCAGACATGTGGTTACTTTGGAAGGCACAGTTCAGCCCGTAACAGCAGGAAGGGCTCTCACTAACCTTTGCATCCTCTGAGCGTAACTCAGCGGAGCTCAGAGTGGTCCAGTGGAGAGAGGGGGTGGCCGTGGCAGTGTGGGCTGGTGGTTACTGACGCGTAAGCTTGGGAGCCTGCTGGCCTGGGCAGCTGATGACCCATTTGCCCAGGATCCCATAGCCAGGCCAGGGCCCGGCTGCAAACCCAGGGCTGTGGAGGTGGGGCCTCTGGGTGGAGGTTTAGGGACGAGATGGCGGAGCCTGGGCCTGGGCCCTGGGGGGCGGGGCAGAGGGAGCAGCCAGTGGGTCCGGGAGGCTTCTGGGTGAGGACGGACAGGGCGTACCCACCCCGCTTTGCAGGCCTCTCTCTTTCCCAGAGCAGTGCTGGCTTCGTGGCTCACAGCCAGCCTCCAGCGCACAGAGACCGTGAAGGCCTTTGCATAAAGCACTTCAGGCTCTTGAATGAACGGGTCCAAATCTGGCAACAAAGCTGGTTTGTGGCCTTGCATCTGACGGCTGTGGTTTCGTGATGACAGCTCCATTCTACTCCTGGAGCTGAGCTTGGTGGCTCCAGGGCACGGGTCTTATGTTTAATCTGCTGTGCTTTCCCTGTGATATTTTTTAATTCCAGCCACCACACTGCGGGCCTCCCAGGATTTTGGGACGGGCACTGGAGTGGAGAGAGGTCTGGTTCACGGGGGCTGCGCTGTGGCTGGTCAGCATGTAGACAGTGGGCGTCTGCCCAGACGCTTCTCTGTCGTGGCAGCCTTCACCAAGGGTGACCGGTGTCCACCTAGAGAGAGACAGAA